TACACTGAAAAAAATGTTTCATTCATCCAATTAAAAAATTTTTTTGGTAATGATTCACATCTATATTTTTTTAACTTGAGCCAATGAAAAATAAATAACTTGCCCGTAGGGCAAAAATAAATAAATAATAAATAAAAAATTGAAAAACAAATAACTTGCCCTTAGGGCAAGTTATTTACAGTGGGTACGGAAAGTATTCAGACCCCCTTAAATTTTTCACTCTTTGTTATATTGCAGCCATTTGCTAAAATCATTTAAGTTAATTTTTTTTCCTCATTAATGTACACATAGCACCCCATATTGACAGAAAAACACAGATTTGTTGACATTTTTGCAGATTTATTAAAAAAGAAAAACTGAAATATCACATGGTCTTAAGTATTCAGACCCTTTGCTGTGACTCTCATATATTTAACTCAGGTGCTGTCCATTTGTTCTGATCATCCTTGAGATGGTTCTACACCTTCATTTGAGTCCAGCTGTGTTTGATTATACTGATTGGACTTGATTAGGAAAGCCACACACCTGTCTATATAAGACCTTACAGCTCACAGTGCATGTCAGAGCAAATGAGAATCATGAGGTCAAAGGAACTGCCTGAAGAGCTCAGAGACAGAATTGTGGCAAGGCACAGATCTGGCCAAGGTTACAGAAAAATTTCTGCTGCACTTAAGGTTCCTAAGAGCACAGTGGCCTCCATAATCCTTAAATGGAAGACGTTTGGGATGACCAGAACCCTTCCTAGAGCTGGCCGTCCGGCCAAACTGAGCTATTGGGGGAGAAGAGCCTTGGTGAGAGAGGTAAAGAAGAACCCAAAGATCACTGTGGCTGAGCTCCAGAGATGCAGTCGGGAGATGGGAGAAAGTTGTAGAAAGTCAACCATCACTGCAGCCCTCCACCAGTCGGGGCTTTATGGCAGAGTGGCCCGACGGAAGCCTCTCCTCAGTGCAAGACACATGAAAGCCCGCATGGAGTTTGCTAAAAAAACACCTGAAGGACTCCAAGATGGTGAGAAATAAGATTCTCTGGTCTGATGAGACCAAGATAGAACTTTTTGGCCTTAATTCTAAGCGGTATGTGTGGAGAAAACCAGGCACTGCTCATCACCTGTCCATTACAGTCCCAACAGTGAAGCATGGTGGTGGCAGCATCATGCTGTGGGGGTGTTTTTCAGCTGCAGGGACAGGACGACTGGTTGCAATCGAGGGAAAGATGAATGCGGCCAAGTACAGGGATATCCTGGATGAAAACCTTCTCCAGAGTGCTCAGGACCTCAGACTGGGCCGAAGGTTTACCTTCCAACAAGACAATGACCCTAAGCACACAGCTGAAATAACGAAGGAGTGGCTTCACAACAACTCTGTGACTGTTCTTGAATGGCCCAGCCAGAGCCCTGACTTAAACTCAATTGAGCATCTCTGGAGAGACCTAAAAATGGTTGTCCACCAACGTTTACCATCCAACCTGGCAGAACTGGAGAGGATCTGCAAGGAGGAATGGCAGAGGATTCCCAAATCCAGGTGTGAAAAACTTGTTGCATCTTTTCCAATGGCTGTATTGGCTGTATTGGATCAAAAGGGTGCTTCTACTAAATACTGAGCAAAGGGTCTGAATACTTAGATATTTCAGATATTTCAGTTTTTCTTTTTTAATAAATCTGCAAAAATGTCAACAATTCTGTGTTTTTCTGTCAATATGGGGTGCTGTGTGTACATTAATGAGGAAAAAAAATTAACTTAAATGATTTTAGCAAATGGCTGCAATATAACAAAGAGTGAAAAATGTAAGGGGGTCTGAATACTTTCCGTACCCACTGTATATATATAATTTGGAAAAAAAACAAAAACGAATAGAATAGAATAGGTAAGTGCTAGTATTAATTGGTCAGGTGCTGGCGAAAAAGATGTCTCTTTAGACTTTTTTTTGAAAATGGCTAAAGACTCGAATTGAGATCGGCAGGTCGTTCCACCAGCTGGGAACAGTCCAGGAAAATGTCAGAGAGAGTGATTCTTTGGGACGGAACCATGAGTCCTCGTTCACTTGCAGAACGCAAGCTTCTGGAGGGCGCATAAGTCTGAACTAGTGAGTTTAGGTATACTGGTGGAGAGCCAGTGGTTGTCTTGTAACAGTACCTTGAATTTAATGCGAGCAGCTTTTGGCAGCCAGTGCAAACTGATGAAGAGAGGTGTGACGTGGGCTTTCTTCGGCTCGTTGAAGACCACTCTGGCTGCTGCATTCTGGATCAGTTGCAGAGGCTTGATAGTACATGCCGGAAGGTCTGCCAAGAGAGCATTACAATAGTCCAGTCTGGCTCATTGAAGACCACTCTCGCTGCTGCATTCTGGATCAGTGGCAGAGGCTTGATAGTACATGCCGGAAGGTCTGCCAAGAGAGCATTACAATAGTCCAGTCTGGAGAGAACAAGAGCTTGGACAAGGAGTTGTGCGGTCTGCTCTGTTAGGAAGGGTCTAATCTTCCTAATGTTGTATAAGGCAAATCTGCAGGACCGGGTTGTTGTAGCATTATGGTCTGTGAAGCTTAACCGATCATCAATCACAACTCCAAGGTTCCTGGCTGTCCTGGAAGGAGTTATGGTTGACAAACCTAGCTGTATAGAGAAGTTGTGATGAAGTGCTGGGTTGGCTGAGACCACGAGCAGTTCTGTCTTAGCAAGGTTGAATTGAAGGTGATGGTCCTTCATCCAGCCAGAAATGTCTGTCAGACAGACTGCAATGCGAACAGCTACCGTCGGATCATCTGGTTGGATTGAGAAGTAGAGTTGAGTGTCATCAGCATAGCAGTGATAAGAAAAGCCATGCTTCTGAATGACAGGTCCTACTGATGACATGTAGACGGAGAAGAGAAGTGGTCCAAGCACTGAGCCCTGAGGAACCCCAGTAGCAAGAAGTTGTGACTTAGAATCCTTACCTCCACAATTATATTATTAAAGCATCCAATAATTATGTGAATCGTGGATATTTTACATGTCTAAAGCATATAAAGTGAATAAACTTGTCTTCTTCAGTTCATCTTTTTACATAATGAGAAACCATAAAAACTTTCATTTGGCCCTTCATTCGAGTGCTGGGTTCACGCGTGTGCAGATCAGCGGCTCATTGGTCTTTGGTCCGAGTCGAACTGTTTCCTCAGTTCAGTGACTGTTGGGGGAACTGGAGCGCTGAATCAGATATGATGCTATTTTGACTCATTTCCAGTTGGAGTGACTGACATGTGTCTGAAATTGAGTTTTGATTGTGTAACTTGTAGATCTGTGCTGCTCGGGACACGAACTGTTTCAGAAACTTCAGTCCGATTTGATGAGCTGGTTCAACTAGTTCATTAAAAAGAACCAGTTCAAAAGAATGATTTGTTTGTGAACCAAACATCACTCCGGAACGTTTGCCTGAGGCTCTGGATTACAGGTAATAATTAGGGGTGCTCCGATCAGGGTTTTTGAGACCGATCGCCGATCACAGAAAGCAGTATCTGCCGATACCGATCACCGATACCGATCTTTTTAAAGCCTTCTTTTTTTATCATTTATAACTATTTATAGTGATACTCCAATCAGGATTTTTAGACATTTATTCAGGGCCTGAATTTCATTTTTGAAAATGTGGGTAATTCCCCTCTTAGGTGTCTCTTGTGAGAGAAGCAGCTTTCAGACAGGAGTCCGCTACTGATCCGTGTTTACCACAAACACAACATTTATTCATTAGTTTGATTTCAAATCCAAACACTGTCACTGAAAGTGCTTTTTTTCAGCATTGCAATTATTTTTTTACACAGTACAGTAATACAATCTTACTTTATAAGTTATTTAATGAAGAAATATTTCCTTGAGGAGTGAGGAGAGTTCCTCACCTTCAGCATTATAATGATTTCACCCGCGCCGGACAGAGACTGAGACGGTGCCGCTGCATGTCGTGCCAAACCTCTCACAGCAGTGTCATCAGCTTGAGATCGGTTTTTTGAGATCGGCCTTTTTAGAGACCGCCGATCAATCATCCCAACGTGATTATCGGCCGATAATGATCAGTAGCCGATCAATCGGAGCACCCCTAGTAATAATGTTGTAAATAATGTTCTTGCACAGACTGATTGTTTCGCTTCATAAGACCTCAATATATCATCAGGAGCCTTCCAAGGAGCATAACTTCAGCTAAAAATATTCTTTACTGTTCTTGGATGGCCTGAGTGTGAGTACATTAACAGCAAATGTTCATTTTTGGGTGAACTATCCCTTAAGTTGAAGAGAATTTCAAATAATATTTTAAAAAGTAAATGAACGATGTTTCATCTGTGTGTGTGTGTCGTCCGCAGCTTCCTTTGATAAGCGTTATAAGGCGGCGTATGTGCGCTTGAGCAGTTCTCTGGGCCGAGAGGAGTTGAGGAGGAAGAGAGTCCAGCCGCCCAGTCCTAAAGCCGTCGACTGCAGACGCTGCTTCCTGCTGCCGCTGGAGTGCTGAACACACATCACACACACACACACTCCGCTCGTCTCGTAACGTCGCGTCTCATCGTCGTCTTCACGCTGCTTGAGGAGGAAATGCGACACACAGTCCAAGCACTTCTGCTGGTACGTTGACTGCAGACGCAGCTGTGCATTATGGGAACGCGTGACCCTTTCACCAAAACTGCTTCTGTATCCCACAATGCCGAGCAAACTGACACCCGCCCCCACCTCGGACGATTTCATAGGATCTAGTGTGGCGTCTGGATTTACCTCGTTTATTTCTGTTCGTTTGATTTCATGGAACTCAAAGATGAAGATCCGGTTGTAAACGCCGGAAGGCATCATGGGAGTTTGAGATAATTCTGCACTGGAGTGACGCTCTGAGCTCCTTCATGTTAGTGTGAGATGTTTCCCGACCAGCAGATCCATCGTCTCTATTCTGGACAGGAGAGTTACTCCGTAAACTAGTCTGATTAGTTAGTTCCTCTGAACCGTGTTTGTGTGTGTGAGAGAGAGCAGTGCTGCTGTCGAGCTACAAACACAAACATGTTTTATTCAGTCATTTAAAAGTTTTATTTTATCCAGTCATTTTAAAGGCTTTCTCCTGGAGAATCATGACTTCCTGTGATGCTCTGATTGGCTGACGTCCATGTGCTGCTGTCAGGATCACGTTCAGCTCGTTCACCCACAAACCAGCTGCTTTTAGCATTGAGATGTTATTCTCATGACCATCAAAAACATTCACTTCCAAACTCTCACTCATGTGAAGAACAGATCATTTACGGACAGAAATCATCGTTCTGTCATCATTTCCTCTCATTCAAACCTGTGTGACTGTCTTTCTTCAGTGAAACACACACAAAGAGATTCTGAGAAATGTCCCAGTGTTTTCTGTTCATATAATGAAAGTCAGCGGGTCCAGAGTTGTTTGTCTCCCAACATTCTTCAAAATACATTTACATTTGTTCATTTATCAAATTATTCATTTTCAAAACATCAGAAGACATGAGGAGAGTGAATGATGGCTAAATTGGCTAAATTGTCTCATTAAATGCACACATCAGGGTTGAATTTGTAGATTTGATTTTATGCTGTTTTCAGTCCTGTCTGATGATGATTTATTTTTTCTATATGCAGTAGGAGTCCAGGATATAATATAAAACTATAAAGGAACTAGATACATTCAATCCAGCTGACTTCCTGTACATTTCACAGTACATTTTTAATACCAACAGAGCTAAAAGTTACAAAGTTGCACAGTTAGTGATGAATAATTTGTGATGATACCAATGATAATTTGCATTATTGTTTTGCTATATCTATATATATATATATATATATACAAACAGTTGCTGGTCCCCATTGACTTTGATAGTAGGAAAAAAACATACTATGGAAGCCACTGGGGACCAGCAACTGTCTGGTTACCCACATTCTTCAAAATAACTTTTACGATCAACTGAAGAAAGAAACGAATTAAGGTTTAAAACAACTTGAGAGTGAGTAAATTACGACAGAATTTTCAATTTTTGGGTGAACTATCCCTTAAGTTGAAGAGAATTTCAAATAATATTTTAAAAAGTAAATGAACGATGTTTCATCTGTGTGTGTGTGTCGTCCGCAGCTTCCTTTGATAAGCGTTATAAGGCGGCGTATGTGCGCTTGAGCAGTTCTCTGGGCCGAGAGGAGTTGAGGAGGAAGAGAGTCCAGCCGCCCAGTCCTAAAGCCGTCGACTGCAGACGCTGCTTCCTGCTGCCGCTGGAGTGCTGAACACACATCACACACACACACACTCCGCTCGTCTCGTAACGTCGCGTCTCATCGTCGTCTTCACGCTGCTTGAGGAGGAAATGCGACACACAGTCCAAGCACTTCTGCTGGTACGTTGACTGCAGACGCAGCTGTGCATTATGGGAACGCGTGACCCTTTCACCAAAACTGCTTCTGTATCCCACAATGCCGAGCAAACTGACACCCGCCCCCACCTCGGACGATTTCATAGGATCTAGTGTGGCGTCTGGATTTACCTCGTTTATTTCTGTTCGTTTGATTTCATGGAACTCAAAGATGAAGATCCGGTTGTAAACGCCGGAAGGCATCATGGGAGTTTGAGATAATTCTGCACTGGAGTGACGCTCTGAGCTCCTTCATGTTAGTGTGAGATGTTTCCCGACCAGCAGATCCATCGTCTCTATTCTGGACAGGAGAGTTACTCCGTAAACTAGTCTGATTAGTTAGTTCCTCTGAACCGTGTTTGTGTGTGTGAGAGAGAGCAGTGCTGCTGTCGAGCTACAAACACAAACATGTTTTATTCAGTCATTTAAAAGTTTTATTTTATCCAGTCATTTTAAAGGCTTTCTCCTGGAGAATCATGACTTCCTGTGATGCTCTGATTGGCTGACGTCCATGTGCTGCTGTCAGGATCACGTTCAGCTCGTTCACCCACAAACCAGCTGCTTTTAGCATTGAGATGTTATTCTCATGACCATCAAAAACATTCACTTCCAAACTCTCACTCATGTGAAGAACAGATCATTTACGGACAGAAATCATCGTTCTGTCATCATTTCCTCTCATTCAAACCTGTGTGACTGTCTTTCTTCAGTGAAACACACACAAAGAGATTCTGAGAAATGTCCCAGTGTTTTCTGTTCATATAATGAAAGTCAGCGGGTCCAGAGTTGTTTGTCTCCCAACATTCTTCAAAATACATTTACATTTGTTCATTTATCAAATTATTCATTTTCAAAACATCAGAAGACATGAGGAGAGTGAATGATGGCTAAATTGGCTAAATTGTCTCATTAAATGCACACATCAGGGTTGAATTTGTAGATTTGATTTTATGCTGTTTTCAGTCCTGTCTGATGATGATTTATTTTTTCTATATGCAGTAGGAGTCCAGGATATAATATAAAACTATAAAGGAACTAGATACATTCAATCCAGCTGACTTCCTGTACATTTCACAGTACATTTTTAATACCAACAGAGCTAAAAGTTACAAAGTTGCACAGTTAGTGATGAATAATTTGTGATGATACCAATGATAATTTGCATTATTGTTTTGCTATATATATATATATATATATATATATACGCTTTAAAACAGTTTACAGTAAGATTTCGTTTGTTAATGCATTAGCTAAAATTAACTGTTAATTAGCAATATATATTTTACAGCATCTATTAATCTTTGTTAATGTTGGTTAATAAAAATTCAATTTTTAAAATGCATTTGCATGCTAACAGTGCATTAACTAATATTAATACATACAACTTGTGATTTTAATAATGAATTAGTAAATGTTCAAATTTGCATTACTTAACAATTAATAAATGCTTTAGAAGCATTTTTCATTGTTCATGTTAACAAATGAAAGCTCACTGTAAAGTGTTATCAAAAATCTCGATGAAGAAGACTTGATTTTCTGTAATCAAACATGTCGTTCTGTTGGTTCGGTGTGAAATGTGATCTGCTCTGCTTCTCTGTTGTGTCGGGAAGCGTCTCGCTCTCGTTTGCTCTTCTGATCCGTGTTTCTTGAGTTTTTGTATTTGTCTGAGTTTCTTCTCCTGGAGTGAAACGTCTGTGATCTGTGTTTAAAATCACCGTTACAGAGAAAACGCTTGTGACTGTTGGATTTACGCCACATTCGTTAGTCTTAATTTTATCGGCGAGGAATATGAACCTGCTAGAAGAGTTTTAGTGGCATTAGAGGAAGTGATGTAAGAGGAAGCTGTAGCTTGTGCTCTTATTCACTGCAGTAACCGCGGAGCAGCCGAGCTTCACTGCAGCATGAACGTCTGCATTTATCCAGAGAACAGAGATTATAAAGCTATATTTAAGTTGTCGTGTGTTTGCTGTGCTAATTTATATTGATGTGACCTTTGACCTTTATTGTGAATGTTTTGTTTTTTCTTTTTTAAGAAAACAGTTTTAAGAACCCTCATTCTGTCTGCGTTTCTTCAGATCACTGGCATGTGAGTTTATTATAAATAATTAGCGTGAGACCTTTGATTATACACACACACACACACACACACACACACACACTATAATTGCATATATAAATTAGAAAGAAAAAAATATAATGCATAAAATATAAAACAAATATGAAGAATATAATTAACACAAGAGATATATAAAGAGAAAAAATAGCTAGCAACATTAACAAACGTATAATACAGTTAGAAGTATATGAATTATATACAGGAAAACATCAAAAATTGGCAAAAAATCATTGTAATTTCATCCTGTACAACAGTGAAAGTGATGTGACATGTAGCCAAGTATGTAACCCACACACAAACACACACTGTTACGACCCCTGGCTCAAGGGAAGCAATAAAACAGGACACACGTGAATTACAAATTGTTGGCTCAAAATAAAACTTTATATAAAGAGTAAAGTCACATACGAAAAATAAAGAAAACAACTCTGTCTTTAGAAAACATTAGTAATATCAATGTGTAATGTAAAGTGCATGGATGTAATGTAATGTAGTGTATGGTAGAGTTGGAGTGAGAATGCAGAAGTACCCCAAAACAAACACAAAACCAAAATGTTCAAAACCGAAGCCCTCCTCTGGCTCAAACGGAAGCCTCTTTTAAAAGGAGCGTCTAAGTCAAAACAAGTGTTTTCAATCGGCTGACAATGGATGTAATTTTTGGACTCAACTGCGCTTCCCCAAACAAACAACGGGGGTCGTCATACCCCATAAGACAGGGACTCCCACAAAGATCCCTGTAACAAAACATCAAAACAAATCTGTCAAATGATATACCCGAGTCAAAACCAAAGACAGCTCCTAAAAATCTCCAAAAGGAAGAAAACATCCAAATTAACCCAAAAACCTAGCTACATTATGCATCCAGAGTGTGAGACAGTGCATCAGCTACCACATTTTCCGAAACCCCGAACATGTCAGATATCCAGGCAGAACGACTGCAGAAACAGGGACCGCTGAATCAACCGCTAGTTCGGACATTGCAAAGAATCAAGAAAATCAATGGATTATGGTCAGTGTATATCACAATAGGGGCACTTGAGTTTAGATACACAGCAAAATGCTGTAGTGCCCAAATAAGGGCCAACGCTTCCTTTTCAACCACAGAATAGTGACACTGATATGAATTAAACTTTTTTGGTTGATCTACTCCACCCATCTTTATCTAGTCTTGTGTATACTCCATATAGCTAAAGCTGCAAATTCAACTCCTTGTTACAAATATGGTAACCATCACTTCTACCACAAAAGACTGCTTTGTAAAGAATCTTAAAGAAGATTAAGGAAAACAGTCCGACACCGTGGTGTAACGAGCACCTTGTGCCTTAAAGAGAGCAGCCTGGAGAATTGAGCGCAGCTGGAAGAAAATGCTTGATGGATGTCTTGTGCTTGACTGAGGTAGAAGGTGTGCTAAAATAAATCTGAATGTCATCAGTATAACTAGCGTTTGATTATTTGTCCAATTGGTAGCATATACATTTTAAAAAGAAGAGGCCCCAGAACAGAACCTTGAGGTACACCAGAACTGATGCATTTGGTAAATGATTTGTGTTTCTGATATATGACAAATTGTTGCCTCCCTGTCAAATAGGAGGAAAACCATTGAAAACCAAAGGCTGTGCCAGTAATTCCAATTGCTGAAAGCCATGAGAGGAGTATCTCATGACAAACAGTGTCAAAAGCTGAGCTGAGGTCTAACAGAAGGAGAGTGCTAAGAGCACCAGAATCAGAGGCTAAGAGAAGATC